GCTTGGTCGGGGTGAACCTTTTTTCATTGGCTTACAACTTGTGCTTTCTAAATGTTTGCTAATTTTATATGTAATATTTATTAGCATCTAAAATTTACTTCCAACTTTTTTTCTCCGTTTTTTACTTTCTTCTTTTTTTCTCTTAGCGGCGAGACGTTCGCTGGTGGCGAAGCGGGCATTTCTGTGCCGGAGACTGTGTGTACGCCGCGTGCGGTTGGCATCAGCGTCGATATCAACGTTTACGAGCCACATCTGCTGGCTGGCACAATGGCGCACATGATTGGCCATAATATCGGCATGGGGCACGATGATGGACGTAAGTATTGAATACGGATATTTTTATGTATGTATGAGTATAAGCACATATGTATATGTTTGATCCCAACAATTGTGTTGTTATTTGTACTTTAATATTTATTAGCGTTAAAATGTCTCCTCATTGCTTTGGTAAATAACTCTAATGGCTGCCAAAAAGTAATTGTGCAATAAATTTGATCTATTGTTTGAGCACCAATCTTCGATATTAGATATATGCTTTCACACAAACTTTCACAATTACGTACTTATTTAAAAGTAAACAGCTTATATTATATGTATGTTGCTCCAAATACCACTCTTTATGCTTTAGCTGTGATTTATTTTATGGAAGTGTATTTATAGTGGTTTATCTTTAAATTTTAAGTGCATTTGTATTCAACCAAATAATAGGTCACTGTTCTGATTTAAAATCACGTACCATTTATAAAAATAAAAACGTTTTAAATGGATTTCAGTGGCAATAAAAGTATCTACGCAATGCAAGGAAAGCTCAACTTTAACTTAAAAGCACTTTCAAAAGCGATAGACTCTAACCTAAACTAAAATACCGAAAATCCTGATAAGTTCCGAAAAGTTCCAAAAAAAAACTTCAGAAATATCCCGAAAAGTAAAACACGAAAGATTCCACACAAAAAAAAACGAAAAAAACGAAGAAACCGGAGAAAACCTTGAAGTTTCGAAAAAATCCCGAAAAGTCCAGAAAAGTCACTACAAATACCGGAAAATCCAGAGAAAATCCGAAAGACTGCCAAAAGTTCTTAAAAACTCTTTAAGTTCAATTTATTTTATTTTCAATTAGCAAATACGCGGCGTGCTTCACTGCACCTAAATTGTATTTTTGTGCTGTTTAATACCCGCTTTTTAATACTTCATTTATTTTATAAATTTTCAAACAGCTGGCAACCCTTAAAAAAAATATTTTCGGCAGTAAACTTTACTAAACCTCTTCCGTTTGATACTCGCATTGCAATATTCAATTTATCTTATCAATTAAGTTAAATTAAAATACTCTCTTTCTTTTGTCTTCCATATTGCAATATTTACTTTATCTTATCAATTTACTTTAATCGCAATTTGCAAACAGGTGGCAACTTTTCTAGTTTTTTCCTTCTATATTTTAAGTTAGACCTCTAGCAATATATCGGTGAAAACAATAGTTTATACTTCTGAGAAGTGTTTGTCTTTATAGATACATGTACCTCAAGGTTATTGGTTAATAAAGGCAGCTTGTAAGCAAGTTTATTCGCAATCTCATTTCTTTCAAATCGTAAGCTTTATTTATACATTACACTGACTTTGTTACATCATCAAAGACCGCGGTTGGATTTTCTTATAGTCGATAGTGCCTTATTGAAAAGTCGCATAATAAGTTGTACTGAATGGCTTGTCAATTCAAAAATAATAAATTTTTAATGTTCCCATTGTGGTGGATATGTGCAGAACTAGTCACCGCTACATTGCTAAATCTATCTACACATATGTATGTACACATTTTCAATTTAAGTACTTCTTAGCGCCATTGATTTTGTTTACTTCGGCTTTAAATGCACTTAAACGTAATCAAAAATTAAATATAATACCAACTTTTCTAACCAAAAGTCTCAGAGATAAAAATCTATTAAATTCAAGCCAACGTTTATGTTCATAAATAAATTGCTGAATTTTTCAACAACACTTTGCATTGAATACAATAACACAAAATTACAAATTGCTGCCTGCACACTCGCACATTTCCCTCACATTGTTTGCTGTTAAACACAATTTCCATCTTATAAATATTCAAAGCTTTCACACAAAGTAAGAGCAATCACTTTTGTGTGCTGTGCTTTTTCGCTATGGCTACGTTGTAGAAGTACTAATGTGTCTCCCAGGTCACATTTATAATATTCGCACAGAGTGTAAGAAAATAGAAATTCAACCATAAAAAATCGCAGCTGCCATAGAAGCAAAGCAAACTTCCGTCATCACCAATAATAATTCATTCAACAATTTCGATGTGATTTCCAAAACGCAACCACACACACACACTAATAGCAGCGGTGTAATAATCGACTGAATTGGCTGATTTATGACGAACGTTTAATGCCATATAATCAACAGACAAAGCTGTGAGCGAAGCTTTTTACTAACAAAGGCAATAAGTATTTTATAATAGCAAATCTTTGATCTGCGGCTAAGAGAGGCGTGCTTTCAAACCACAACATCCATTATCAAGTTAAGCCACCACTGATGACCAAACTCGGCGGCACTCCGATGGCGATGGCAATGGCGATGACGGTGACGCTCATCCTGCGGTTGTTGATATATGTACATACGCCTGCTCACTTAACATTACAGCAAATGTATTTTAAATGTTTGTGTATATGTATTTGTATGGGAAAGTGTGAGTGCCTCGTACATTGTCTGTGGGCTGGTGTGTGTATCCATAGTGATGATGCATTTGCCTAATGGAAATTCATAAATTTTATTTAAAAAAAAAAAAGAATCTGTATACTTTTCTATTCATCATTTCATTTTATTGGCTGCTACACACAAAAGCACACGCGCGCATCAAACCTAAATATTCCTAAGTAAATATTTTGCTTTGGCAAATAAATAAAACATTTATATTGTAAAAAGAAATAGAAACGATTAGCATTGCTGTTGTTATTGGCAGCAATAACAATAGACCTTCGAAATATGTAAATGCGCTTTCAAAGACGCATATTTTGAAGAATAAATAGATAAATAAATATTGCTAGATAGCTGCTTATGCAAATATATTTGTCCATACGCAATATATTTTATATCAAAAATGATAACGTGCAAGAAGGTAAAAGCGACAGCAAAATTTATGAAATTGAAATTTTCTTTCCTCTTCAACAGTCCTTTGATGTGTTATTTAATGTGTGTGATATATTAGGGTGGTCCAAAATGAATGTGAAAAAGTAAAGTAAGCATTTTCATGCTCACTCACCCGCTAGGATTAATCTATATCGAAAGAAATATTTCGAAATTAAAGAATATTTAGAGGTCGCGCAAAGTGCTCAAAGTTTTCCATATATTTTAAAAGAGGGAAACCCATTTTTCGTCAAAATGGTGTTGAATTCGATAAATTTAGTATTTTAGATGGTAAAAATTTGTTTCTCTTGAGGTGATTCGCAATAATAATACGCAATTGTTTATTTTAAAATTTTTTAATGCTGGCAATTTTTTATATGGGGAACTTATAAAAAACATTGAAACCTTTGAGCGCTTTGAGCGTTCTCTAACTATTTTTGAATTTCAAAATAAAAAATAGTGGTATAATTTTTTTCGGCATAGAACAATCCGCGGGTGGAGCATTAAAATTCCGGCTTTGCTTTTTTTTTTAGATCACCCTAATGTACATACAAATGTATGCACGTACTTACGTAGCAAAAGTATAAAATATTAAAACATATTGTATTTGTTGTACACACTTTAATAGACATATACAAATATCTGCTGCATTATTTAGCACTTTTGTTGACAGCAAATTTTTCATTTTTAATCGCATAATTATTTGTTTCTTTTACCTACGACAGGTGAGGAGTGCTTCTGCCGCGACTGGCATGGCTGCATAATGGCCCAATCGATTGTTGGCCAGGAAAATGTGCAGCCATACAAATTCTCCGAGTGCAGTAAAAAGGATTATATCGATGCGCTGCGCACCGGACATGGGTTGTGTTTACTCAATAAGCCAAATGAGGTGAGTCTCAAAGTATTGAAAAAAAAATGTTATGCCATTGCTTTATATTTATTACTAGTATCAGAATGAGAGCAAAGTTACACGCCACTGCCTTATGGTGGTATAAAACCGTTATGTACTGGATGCCAAAGTTTCGCGGATATCATTTAAGAAATTTACTTTTGGATGAAAATTTAAACTTAAGTCATGAAATTTGGTCAAAAAAAAAACTCTGGATAACTGTCCAACTTCTTTGCCACTAAATTTCCCTCGAAG